TCTGTTTGCCTCTCTGCTTTCCAGTCTAGTGGATAAATCTAGGAGTGGCATTGCTGGGTCATATGGTAATTCTGGGTTATACTTTTGAGGAATCAGAGGGCTGGGTTTTAACATAACTAAGATACCATTATAATATCTAAAATGTAGCAACAAATATATCCATCATTCAGATTTTCACTTGCATCATAAATGTCACCATTTTTTTTTTAACAGTTGCGTGTTTGAATCAGGATGCAAATACTATCCCATATTGCAGTTGGTTGGTTTGTCTCTTAAGTCTCCTAATCTCTAGGTCCACCCACATCTTTATTTTTTAATTCTCTTGAAGTGAATTTGTTGAAAACACCGGGTTTTTTCTTGTAGAGTGGCATTGGTTTTTGTTCACTGATTTTTTATCCAGCCGTTTTGCTAAACCCTTTATTAATTGTAATATTTTCTCTGTAGATTCTTTTGAGTTTTCTGTATAGATAACATCATTTGTGACTTAGGACAGCTTTGTCTTTTTCAGTTCTTTCACTTTTTATTTTTTCCCTGCCATCCTGAGCTGGCTGGAGCCTCTATTACAATGTTGAGTAGAAGTGGTGATTATGTGTCTGTGAGTTTGTGGAAGTGTGGAATTACGTGTTTCTTGAATGTTTTGGAATTTCTATCAAACTATCAAACTATGTGGGCCTGGTGTTTTCTTTGTGGAAAGATTTTTGACTACCAATTCAATTTCTCTAGTTGTAAAGAGCTATTCAAGTTCTCCATTTCTTCTTGAGTCAGTTTTGCTACACCGCATTTTTTGGGAAGTGTGTCTTTTTAAATGTCAATAAAATAAAATAAATTTGGAAGAAAGTTGTCTACAACAGCCTCGCATTGTCAAGGATGGCACTAGGGCAGCATCGCATAGCGGGTAAGAGCCTGGGCTCGGAAACCGGATGGCTTCATTTCAAATCTCTGCCTGCTCTGCTGCACACTAGCTGTGTAGCCTGACCATCTGACAGTGTGGGTGACAACAGACCTCCGTCATGGGGCTGTTGTGAAGATGGAATGAGCACGCACAGGTAGAAGCACTGAGTCTGTGCCAGGTGCACGGTCAGGCTGTGCAAGGGTCAGCCTTGGTGGTCGTGGTGGTTTATTGTTATTAATGTTGGCAGTATCTGACTCATATCCCCTTTTTCATTCCTAATATCATCTATCTGTGCCTTCCTTATTTTTATTTTTTTTTAAATCAGCGTTGACAGAGGCTTGGCAATTTTATAAGTTTTTGCAAAGAACTAGCTTGTTTTCTTGATCTGTTCTCTTACATGTTGGCTTTTAAATTTAATTAATTTCTTCTTGTATTTTTGTTGTTTTCCTCCTCTTTCTGAGTCGATGCTTTTCATTTTTCTTATTCTCAGTTTGGATGCTTATCTCATTAATACTTAGGCTTTGTTATCTTCTAATGAAAGCATTTATGATTATAAATTTCCACATAATCACTGCTTTAGTTGAACATCACACATTTTTAATATATAGTATGTTTGTGGTGGTTCAGTTCTAAATATTTTCTAATTTTCATTATGATTTCATCTTGGTCCATGAGTTATTTAGAAGTATATTTATAATTCCCAAACATATGTGTCTTTTTCTGGTTGTCTTTGAAGAGTTATTTCTAATGTAATTGCATTTCTGTCGGAAGATGATGTGTATTTTCCTGATTCTCTGAACATTGTTCATTCTGGGGGCTGCTTTTGGGATGCTGGCTGTGTCTGGCTCTCTGTCTCTTTACGGAGCAGTGCACAGAGGTAATCATAACCTGTCTCCACCCTCAGGTTAGACTGCATTGGGGAAAATGAGATAAAACCACGAAATGCCCCCAGCCCCCAAGATTCCGAGTCAAGTAAGGACCAGGCCTTCCCAGAGGACATGGTGGTTCTTGCCTGGGCTGACCTGGGAAGGCTCCTTGGGGAGGCGGCTGGGGCTGAGTCTTAGAGGCAGGTAAGGGCCGTGAAAGGCCTTCTGAGCAGGGTAGTGGGCCTGGAAGAGACCCCCCCCTTGACGTTAGACCTACTGTGTGCAGAAGCAGCCACTTCTACCGGAGTGCTCGACTACTAGCCAAAAGTCTGGTGGTTCAAACCCACCCAGAGGCAGCTTGGAAGACAGGCCTGGAGATCTGTTCTGAGAGGCCACAGCCTCGAAGACCCTGTGGAGTAGTTCTAATGTGCACACGTGGGGTCACGGAGAGTCAGAATCCACTCGGCAACTGGTTTTTTTTCAGTTTGCGGTAGGCCACGCGGTTTCCGTAGTGACTTGGGTCACCTGGGCGACCCCGTCGGTGATTGTGCAGAGCCTCACTTCATGAACTGTCTCCATCCTAAACAAATGCAGCCAACAGCCAGCTGGCGGGTCGTCACCATACACAGAACCCACCACTGTCGAGTTCATTCTGACTCCTAGCCACACTGTAGGGCAGAGGAGAACTGCTCCATAGGGTTTCCAAGGCTGTCATCTTTACAGAAGCAGACTGCCACATCTCTCTCCCGCGGAGTGGCTGGTGGGTTCGAACCACTGACCCTTCGGTTACTAGCCAAGCACTTAACCACTGTGCCACCAGGGCTCCTTTGTTACCATATATAAATAGAACTCCAATAAACAGGAAGAAACTCCCATATTTCCATAATAACGGGCCAGGTCTTGAACAGATCGGACGTGTAGATGGCTCCCAAGTCTCGCTAGAGACCAGAGATGCAGACGTGAAAAGGGCAGTTAGATGTCACCCTGGCTGTGATGGAGCAGAGAGTGGTGAGGGGAACGCCCCACCGGGGAACAGAGGTGAGGCTGTCCCTGCTTCCAGGAGCGCATGGGAGCACCAGCCACACCGGGGGTTTTGGCAGTGAGCGTCAGGACTCCAGAACATTCCCTCTCGTGGCCCAGGCATGCCTCTTCTTGGACTCCGAGGAGGTGAGCAGAGGACAGACAGAGCTGGCGACAGTGTGACTTATGAGGCGTAACTTGGGGACGCGTCAGAATCCAGCTTAGGGGAGCGGTGCGCAAACCCCCGCCCAGGACGCAGACATTGCAGTCACGTGTGCTGGGCTTGCCTGGGGAGACAGCCCGTGAATGAATGAGTGAGTGAGAGAATGAGTGTGAGAGTGTGTGAGTGTGTGAGTGTGTGAGTGAATGAGAGTGTGTGAATGTGTGAATGAGTGTGAGTGTGAATGTGAGAGTGTGTGTGTGTGAGTGTGAATGAGTGTGTGTGATTGAGTGTGAGTGTGAGAGTGTGTGTGAATGAGAGTGTGTGAGAATGTGAGTGTGAGAGTGAGTGTGTGTGAATGTGAGTGAGTGTGTGTGAGTGAATGAGTGTGTGTGAGAGTGAATGAGTGTGTGAATGAGTGTGTGAGTGAGAGTGAGTGTGAATGAGTGTGAGAGTGAGTGAATGAGTGTGAGTGTGTGAATGAGTGTGAGTGTGTGAATGAGTGTGAGTGTGAGTGTGTGTGAGTGTGAGAGTGTGTGAGAGTGAGAGTGTGAGTGTATGAGTGTGAGAGAGTGAGTGAGTGTGAATGAGTGTGTGTGAGAGTGTGTGAGTGAATGAGAGTGAGTGTATGAGAGAGAGGGTGAGAGTGAGTGTGAGAGAGTGAGTGTGAGTGAGTGAGAGCGTGAGTGAGTGACGGCTGGCTGTCGTGCACCGTCCATGCCGCATGACTGCCCTGCCTGAGTGTGTGTGCACTTGTACCAGGTGCTGGAGGAAATGTCTGGACGCCCTCTGGACGCGTGCTCCGCTCGGCTCGTGTCCTGCCCTGTCCCCCCTTCCATCCAGGAGCTCGAAGGACGAGTGGTTAGGGTTCCAGGAGCAGGAGGCTGCTCCATGAGTGAGAGGCGCATGTCTCTCTCTTAGTGGAACCAGCAGGATGCCCGTGCGGTGTGGGTGGCCCTGCCTGGAGCCAGGAGGAGGGTCGGTGGCCTTCTGGGATGTCTCCCACCCGAGGGGGCAGTCCCTCCATGCCCACTGCGCTGGCTGCAGTGTCCCCTCAGAGGGACAAGGGCACAGGCTGACCAGAGCACTGTCTCTCGGGCAGCGACGTGGAGCCGGCAGCTGTGGGACACAGGGCCTCTCCAAAGAGCCGAGTGGTAACCCGGGGCCGACCGTAGCAGCCGGGGACCTTGCAGAGGCGGTTCCTGGGGTCAGAGAGCGCGTCTCCCGCATCCCCCACCACGCACTGAAGCCTGTGTTCTTTGAAACCGCCTCCTACCTTCTGCTGGGGGGAGCCCAGAGAGAAGGAGTCCCACAGACCAGGGACAGGCACACGGGGCGTTTTGTGGCCTCTGAGCACACACCGTGAACTACTGAGTCTGAGGTGCCACGGACGGAAAGGCACATCCCAACTCCAGAGATGATAAAAGATTTCCATAAGGTGCGTCTTAGGATCGATGAATTTCAGACAAACGTGCCCAAGAACGTTTTTGAATAAACGAGTATCATCACAGTGAAAATGAAGACGCGTTCTCCCTGAGCCTGACCTGCGCCGGGTGCCGTCTGGACGCGGGGAGGATGGACAGGCAGACCGCACTGCCCCACAGCTCTGAGTCACACTCAGGGAGGAGGGCCTTTTTCCACTGCTGACACAGCATAGAACGGGACTTCGTAAACCGCAGTAAAACATCACGTGCGTGGATGCTGCGGAAATTTCGAATCGCGGTAAACATCTCCAAAGCCTCCTCCATTTGTGTTCTCGCTGGTCACAGGCTGGTAGCACCTGTCCCAGCCTGCCTGGCCGCAGGCCACATTTGAGGGGCCCTGCGGGGGCCCCACCTGGTTAGGATAACCTTTCAGGGCAGCTGAATTTAGAGAGAGGTCCCGAACATCTCAATGTTTGAGCCCAGTGCTGGCAGGGCCACAAAAGGGGGCGTTCCTGGGCTGCGGCAACCAGGGCAGGCTTCCTGGAGGAGGTTTCCGAGGCATGCCCCGCGGTCGCTGTGGGGCTGTGCCGCCATGCTGTGGCTGGTGGGAGTAACTGTGGCTGTCCTTGCTGTCGTAGAGTGCGCTAAGTGTTGGACGGAGTATGGAATCCGCCACTTCCCCTGCCCATCGCCAGAGCGCAGCCCACAGGAGCCCCATGTGGGGAAGGACGGGGAAGGCCGCCTGGGGCCAGCGGTGGGCATGCCCAGAGGCCCGCGGGCCCGGAAGCGAGGTACTTCCCCTCGGATGTTGGGCTGGGGTCCCGGGAAGGCCGCTCGGAGAGGCCAGGAGGAATGGAAGCTGGGGTTCAGGCGGGGTGCCTTGGCAGCATTGAGCTGTGGGGAGGCACGCGCGGGAGTGAAGGGCCCCCACCCAGAGTCGGGGTGCATCAGAGCTGTGTCCCGGAGCAGGGTCTCCCTGCGGGGCTGGGCGAGGGTACAGCGGGGTGGCCTCCGTGCTGAGCAAGGTGAGGGGCCCTGCAGAGGTGGGCCAGCAGGGGTCTTCGTCTGGGTGCTCCTGGGGTGGGACGGCAGGAGCGGGTGGAGCTGCTGCCCCTGAGTACTTCTCCTGAGACGTGATCTGCCCGCTGGGCCCTTCAGTGGGGGGACACTGTCCCTGCCCTCTGGAGGCATGAGCTGGTGGGGGCCCAGACCTTTATTTGGAAACCTGTGATGGACGGGGGAGCCAGCCTCTGACCTTGTGGAGCCTCCGATGGTGCGGAATGAGGGGCACCACCCTCAGGAGGGCATGGTGTGAGGGGTGAGGGAGCCCACACAGGTGGAGGCAGAGGGACCCTGCCCGGACCCCATGCCGGGAGCTGGAGAGGAGGGTTGTGGGTCACAGAGGGCCTCTGTCATGTGTGGAGCGGGGGTGAGGACAGCGCTCACAGGGGCTCCCCACGCTAGGCAGGGGATAGGCTGTGTCCCCGAGGGTTTGTGGTCATGGGATTCCCAGGAGGTACAGAGGGCCTGGCCTGTGCAGAGAGGGCTGGGCCCGGCCCGGTGTGCAGGAGGTGGGGGGCCTGGGTGTGCAGGAGGAGGGGGCTGGACCTCGGCCTGGTGTGCAGGAGCAGCTGGCCCCGGACTGAGGACGGGAGAGGGTGGAGGGCAGGGCCGTCCCATGTCTTGGCCCCTTTGCCCCTATGGGTGCAGAGCAGGCAGCTCAGTGTGATCCCTGTTTTGAGATGGGGACACAGTGGCCCAGGACATTAAGTAGCATCCAGCCAGGCCAAGGCTCTGGACGGCGGCAGGGAGGGCAAGTCGGGAGATCAGCGGCTCCCCGAAGCAGAAGCCACGTGGAGGCACCCTGACAATGCCGGAGCAGCTGCCGCCCCGCCGGCTGTGCCCTTTCAACACCCGCCTTTTGGTGCCATTCCAGGACCAGGAGTCACTCCCGAAGGCAGCTGGACGCCAGAGCCCACGGCGGTCGCCGGGCCCTTGGGCCGCGTCGCAGGGCCTGGCGCTGCCCGGACCAAGAAGAGGAAGCCCAACTTTTGCCCGCAGGAGACGGAGGTCCTGGTGGCCCAGGTCAGCAAGCACCACCAGCTGCTCTTTGGCACGGAGCTGCCCAAGGCTGAGCCGGCCCGCAGGTACCGCACGTGGGGCCGCATCCTGCAGGCCGTGAACGCGCTCGGCTACTGCCGCCGCGACGTGGTCGACCTCAAGCACAAGTGGCGGGACCTGCGCGCCGCGGTGCGCCGCAAGCTGGGTGAGCTACGCAAGGCGGCCCCCGGGCCTGACGCTGGCAAGCCCCTGGCCCTGACCCTTACGCCCGTGGAGCAGGTGGTGGCCAGGACTTTCTCCTGCCAGGCCCTGGCCCCCGAGGGCGTTGATCTGGAGCCTCCCAGAGGTGAGTTCCTGCCAGGCTCAGCCCCCGGGGCCGGCCCTCTCCTGGCCTCTGCCGCGGGGACCTGTTAGCGTCCCACTGGCAGCTGCCCTCCCCTCCTCCTCCTCCACAGGGGCCACCTTCCTGCTCTTTCTCCTCCTCCTCGTCCTCATCCACGAGGAGCTCCTCCTCTTTCTCCATTTTCTTCTTCCTCTTCCTCCTCTTCACCACCGTCCCTGTCATCATCTGCATGATTTTTCTTCATTCTCTTACCCGTTCAGCAATCACCCACCCATCCATCCGTTATTGCACTCGGCAAATGTTGTTAAAGTACCGAGAGAGCTCGTCTTGGTCATCTGGTGCTGCTCTAACAGAAATACCACAAGTGGATGGCTTTAACAAAGAGAAGTTTATTCTCTCACAGTCCAGTAGGCGACAAGTCCAAATTCAGGGCACCAGCTCTAGGAGAAGACTTTCTCTTTGTCGGCTCTGGAGGAAGGTCCTTGTGATGCATCAATCTTCCCTTGGTCTGGGAGCATCTCAGCGCAGGAACCTCAGGTCCAAAGGACACACTCTGTTCTGGCACTGCTTTCTTGGTGGTATGAGGTTCCTATGTGTCTCTGCTTGCTTCTCTGTTTTATATCTCAAAAGCGATCGGATTAAGACACTATCCAATCTTGTAGACCTCATCGGTATAACTGCCGCTAATCCATCTTATTAGATCATAGTGATTGAATTTACAACACATAAGGAAATCACATCAGATTAAAAAATGATACACAATCATACAATACTGGGAATCATGGCCCAGCCAAGATGACAGATATTTTTGGGGGACACAATTCAATCCATGACAGAGCTTTAAAAGAAAATTTCACTTCCTGCTTAGCTCTTGCCTTAGCTCTTCTCCCGGCCCAGAGCTGAGAGCCGAGCCCACGCAGAGAATGAGAGATGCTCTCAAGGTCTTCCAGGTCAAACGGGGGGCCATGACCTATAGCCAGACGTGTGTGTATCGTAGCTCGGTTATACACACAACCGAAATGCAGGGTTTTCAAGACAGCGCTTCGTGTGTAGGCTGTCCTCGCCTGTGTCAGGCTGTCATCACCGTCTTGTTCTGTCTTGTTCTGCTCCATCCCATCCCTTCCTAAGAAGCTGCTCATTGTGACTTATTTGACCTGTGACTTGGGTTACAGCCTGCGATTGGACGCAGATGCTCTGGGATGGTTTAACATCCTCCCAGCGGCCTCCCAGCGGGGTTATCACGCCGGAAGGTGGAAACGGGCATATTGACACCTGGGAGAGGGGACTTTCTCTACCTCCTGCCCTTTCCCTGTGGCCCCTGATGCTCTGGCCAAGTGTCTCCCCCGGCCGTCGGCACAGGGGAACATCTCAGCTGGGGTCTGTCTTGTCCACGGAAGCCTCCCTGCCAGGCTGCCGTCGGGGGGCTCAGAGTCGGGGGCAGACAGCTGCTGGGGAACAGGAACAAGGTGCAGACAGTGCTGCGGCCCATGGAGCACGCTTCCCGCCCTGCCTGCTAACACTTCACAGCAGCAGCCACCCCTCCACCACCCGAGCTGGACAGGGATCATGGCGCCGTGTGTCTCTGCGCTGGGCTCCAGCCACAAAGCGATGGGGTCCCACTCTGCTGTGAGCTGCTCAGCCCTGTCCCACCGTCTGGAGTGGGGTGGGGTCCCTAGAGCGTGGGCCATAGCAGGTCAGGACGAGTCGCCCCTCAGGACATCAGCTTGGACCTGGCCCACGCCCAGGCCCGGGATCAGTGAGGACAGAGGCATCTGCCCTGCTGGACATGGCTGAGACGGTGGAGCCCGGGAGCTAAGCCAGCGTGTGGTCAGACCTCACATGAGGTGTGTGTGACAAGGAGCAGGGCTGGCGAGGGGGCTGTGCCTGGACGAGGGGCGGACATGGAGCTGGCCTGGGCGGGGGCCTCACGGCAGAAGTGTGCTGGGTTGGCCCCTCGGCGCAGCAGGGAGGGTCGCCACATAGCTGTTCCTTTCGGCAGAGTTGGAGTGCAGCCCCTTTCCTGGCAGGGCCTGGGAGAATGGCTGCTTCTAAAGGCACACCCTGTGCTCGGGAGCGGAACCCCATTTTCACTCCGACCTCCCCTTTCTGCTCTGTGCTGTGTGAGAATGGGCGGTTCATTCTTAAAAGCTGTGGAGGCTCAGCTGTGCGCTTCGAGAAGGCCAGACAGCATCGTCAGGGGGCCGCGGCCGTGCCTGGGTGGTGATGGTGGATGTCTTAGCCATCTAGTGCTGCTATAAGAGAAATACCACAGGTGGATGGCTTTAACAGACGTGGTCTAGTAGTCTAGAAGTCCAAGTTCAGGGCAGCAGCTCCAGGGGAAGGCTTTCTCTCTTTGTCGGCTCTGGAGGAATATCCTTGTCCTCAGTCTTCCCCTGGTCTAGGAGCTTCTCTGCGCAGGAACCCCGGGTCCAAAGGACACGCTCTGATCCTGGCATTGCTTTCTTGGTGGTGTGAGGTCCCCTTGTCTCTCTGCTCGCTTCTCTTCTTTATATCTCAAAAGAGATATGTAACTTAAGATACAATCTAGTCTTGTAGATCTCATCAGCGTAACTGCCGCTAATCCATCTCATCAACATCATAAAGGTAGGATTTACAACACACAGGAAAATCACATCAGATGACAAAGTGGCAGACAGTCACACAGTACTGGGAATCATGGCCCAGCCAAATTGATGCTCATATTTTTGGGGGACACAGTTCAGTCCATGGCAGTGTGGATGTCAGTGTCATCATGGGGCCATGGTCATGCCCGAGTGGCAGTAAGGAGGGATGGCAGTGTCGTTGGGGCCATTATCCATGGTGTTGTTAGTGGGACTCAACATTGTGGAATTTGTCAAGTCCTGCCTGTGTGCTGGCTGGGGGTTATGGAGCACTGGGATCTCTGAGGCTATGAACTCAGTGGGTCCCACTTGGCCTGTGCAGTGGCCCCTATTACCCGAGAAGGAAACTGAGGTGCAGCGTGGGGACGTGTCAGGCCCCGGGAGACTTGACCTGAGAGCACCAGCCCGCCTCCTTCTCTCGGGGAGAGGCCCGGGGCCACACACAGGACAGTGTTGTTGCTCGCTCTCCACTGGAGCTGAGTCGGGACCCTGGCCCTTCAGTCTGCCCACCGTTTGTGGGTGAGGATGGGGTGGGCAGAGAGGGGGTCACCAGGCCAGGGGGGCACCATGGTGGGGTCTTTCCTGGTAGTGGGGTGGCTAGGGCAGAGGCAGGCCTGGGCCCTCCTGAGGGGAGGCCCCTGCGCCGAGGGGGTTCCTGAGGGGAGGCCCCTGCGCCGAGGGGGGTTCCTGCGGGCAGGTCCCCGTGTTGGTGGTGGCTGTGTGGCGCGGTGTCCCTCTCGCTGTCACCCGGGTGGCCTCCCTTCTCTGTGAATGCTGGCCCCCCGCTGCTGCAGGTGCCCTTGGGCCCTGGTTCACTGGGGGCTGCTGATTAGAGCAGGTAGAGGGCCTGGACCTCGTGGTAGAGCGTGGTTGCCACGAGCATTTTAAGTCCTTGTTCCCCTTTCTGCAGCGGGCAGATAGGGCCCAGCACCATGGGGAGATGCAGGCGGCCGGCGGGGGCGTGGGGGCTCTTGCTTTTTGTGGTCCTGTTTAGAATGGCCCATTATCTCGCTCACAGCGGGAGCAAGGGTGGGTGGCACGCGGGGAGGTGAATCGCCCGGTGAGCTCCGCCTAGTTCTTCTCGCAGCTTGCCGTGTGCTGGTGCAGCTGCTCGGGGTCATGCACGTAGAATACTGAAAATGAGGTTTCCTCTCTTCTCTGGCGGGGCTGGGACAGAGGACTAGGGACCGTGGCTCCTCTTGGGCTCCCTCAGGGATGCGGGCCCAGCCTGGGGTGTCTGGTTCTGGGAGGCCTCCCTCTGCACCTCCTCGGAGCCTCACAGTGCCGGCCCACTGACTGTTTCTGGGGGGACGCTTCGGACCCCCAGAAACTGTGTCCTGGGGTCCCTCTGACTGTGTCATTGTTGGCTGTGGGGTGGGAGCCCTGTTTCTCCATCTAGGCCGGGAGCCCCCCCAAAGCAGGGCTGCGCCTCCCGCCTGCTTCCTTTTCCTGTGACACCTGCCTGAAGTGACTGTTTGGCCCCCAGGGTGAAGTGAGAAGGGACAGGAAGCCTGGGGTGTATTTGGGCCCAGCAAGCTGCTTACCTCGGGGACCTTGTGACATGGGGCGATGGTGCCCTACTCCCCACACAGGAGAGCTGTGTCGATGGCACACGGTGCTGACCTTTAGCTTTGCTGTGGGACGAGGGATGGCGGCCTGGGTAGAGAGTGTCCCCTGAGAGGGCGGAGGGCCGGGTGCTCTGGAGGAGGAGGTGGGTGAGCCTGTGGCCTGGCCCCATGACAGGACAGGGTGTTCACGGGGCTCCCTCTGTCACGGCCTTGCTCCTTTAGTCAGCTTGTTCCTGGGAATCTGTGTGAGTCAGATCCTAGTCTGGAAACTAGGAGGAGAAAGGTGGACTGGCCCTTGTCCTGAGGAAGACCATCCTGGCTGTGGGAGGGGAGAGGCAGCTCTGAGCCATGTGGGGAGGGCTGGAGCTCTGTCAGGAGGCCCTGCCCATGGCCTCTGCTGGGAGGACAGTGGGCCAGGCTGGGGGGCTTGGTGCTGGGGAGACGTGGCTGGGTGGGGGCGGCAGGTGGCGAGGGGAGGCAGTGGGTGCAGGTACTCTGGGCATGGGCTTCTCCCGTACCCCACATCTGGAGCCCAGGATACCGCTTCATGGAAGTCTAGTTTATATACAAAATATGACAGCTGCTTTAAGGGTACGGTTTAATGAGATTTGACCAACACACACCCATGCAGCCCACCACAGTGACAGGAAAGAGCATTTCCGTGACCTCAGAGGGTTCCCCATGCCCCTTCAGTCAGTCACCACCCACCACCTCAGCCCAAGCCAAGGCAACCACGGGTTTGCTTTCTGCCACTATACATTCCATTTCTCTTTTTGGAGTTTCACGTGCGTGGGATCACCTGATCTGTACTCCC